GAAACATGTTCTGAATGCAGTGCAGGATTCTCCTGTGCAGTAGCTAGTCAGGATCCAGTACAATGTGGTCAGGGATACATCTCAGCAGCCGGAGCCACCAGTTGTACAATATGTGCTAATAGTAAGTTACAAACATTTTCAATTTACACTGTCTACTGTAAAGTACCTTATTAGTCCCCGTTCAGACGAAGTCAGAAAACGGGGACTATTAATTTGGGTTCATTTCGTCCATCCGTACGTACATACGTCCGTCCGTCCGTCCGGAGCTATATTTCGAACACCTATTGACGGAATTCATTCAAACTTTACATGAAGACAATACATAATGTCTTACATATGCACGTCAAGTTACTTTATGATCGGAGCAAAAATGGCCGACTGGCGGCCATTTTGGATATAAAATTTGCTATTTCTGATACCTAAACATGTCCGCAGCAGTTTCTCAGAGATGACTGGGCTGATTTGGATCGAAGTTGGTATGATGATCATACATATTGAGGTGTAGGTGCACGTCATTTTTTTTTCGTGATTCGACTAGCGACCATCTTGTTTTTCATGGTACCCATGCTACTTTATCTTGAATGTAATGAACATTTCTGTTTAAATTTTGTACAAAGACAGTATACCAATAGATACATCAACATGAACATTATTTTTGTAATTTGATTCAATATGACTGCCCAATGTTCAATTCTCGTGTAAAAGCACTAAATCATAATTCTTTACAAATCCATCTCCTATTAATAGTTTCAATCTAATCTCAATGACTTCATCAGCATCAAATTGATATGTCAGATCACAAAATTTTGGACGGGGACTGTGTCATTAACAATGACTTGTTTTTACTTGAAATTTATTTTCACATATGAATCTGTGAAAATAAAATTTAGTGAAAATAACTTTTTTTTTCTTCTATATTTTACATTCAACTCATCAAAAACTTCTCACTAAACAAACAAAATACCTTTTCAAAAATGAATTCCAGTTAAAATACAGTACTTCACATAATATCATATACACTATGTCAGAACTGTCAAATATTCTTATCTTGGGGTAATGGATACAATTTGTCAACATTAAAATAAAGTGTCCTGTAATTCCTATTCAAACACACAGACATTTTTTGCAATAATATGGCAGCCTTTATTCACAGACATTTTTTGCAATAATATGGCAGCCTTTATTCACAGACATTTTTTGCAATAATATGGCAGCCTTTATTCACTGAGTATTCAAATTTTATTTTAGATGAGATAAGTGATGCAACCAATACAAATTGTCTTCCATGCCCGGCTGGTAAGTCATGTACTGACCCAACACAGGACCCAATAGATTGTGGTAATGGTGAATACGCTGCTGCTGGGGATGCAGTCTGTGTGAGTTGTCCTGTTGGCATGCAGTGTCCGTCCACGTCTACTAAAGAAACATGTAATACAGGTAAGCTACTTATGGTTTAGTAGTAGATAAGATGTACTGCAGATTATAATTTGCCAGTTTGACATGATTTCATGCATGAACACATACAGTGTGGAACATTCAATTTTTACAAATGTAGATCCTTGTTGGGATAAAGTCAGTAATAGTCACAATGAATAAAAACTTTTATACTAATAATGTGCGTTATGCTGTTCACATTTGATTTCTTGTTATAAAATG